CTAGCATTCCGTAAGCGAATCATTCAGTGAACTCATTCTCTAATGAGTACCTGCACTATGTCCCTAGTATTCCCACACAAGCAGCTATGAGAATAGCTACCTACATCATATGGATGGGTATTTAGTACATCAGTATATCTGGTTATTGTTCATTTGGATAGACATTGATTCAACCCATCACCAATGAATTTACTTGGTTTATTTTAAATTATTCATAACTATGTATCAAAAAATTAATTTTAGATACTTTTACTCTATTTGTGCCTTTATGAGTAACTTCAAGTATGTGTAAAATATCATATGCGATGTCACAAGTAGAAACTTAATTAAACTCATTTTTATCTAAAGCACAAAATAAAGCATTCATAGCTTTAGCATTTAAAGAAAATATTTTCTTTTCAAAATCATTTTATTCACTCATCGGTTTAGAAGATTTTTGAAAACTAAACTTGACAATGTTCCATAGATCAAAATCCATATAGAGCAAGAAAATCTATATTCACGTTTTCCAATAGGTGTAGTCCGTCCCATTGAACATAGGAGGATGAATAATGGAGTAACCCTCTTGGTTACTTGAAAAAGTCATTAGATCTCTCTTAAGTGTTAATCCAACTAAGAGAACTAAGCCCTGATATTAATTATTAGAATCGTTATGGCACTAAGAGGGAGGGTGAATTAGTGCTATAACAAATTTTATCCAATTTTAAAGTTCGATCGATAAATTCATATTGAAAATACGATTAACAAAAACTACAAGTAAGGGTTACAAGTAAATTAAATGAGTAAGCAATAACAAATCAAAGGTAAAAGAAAGGATGCAAATCGATTTATAGTGGTTCGATTTTCCTGATCTATGTCCACTCTCGATTCTTCTTCCCTTGAGGCCATCGGCTTTCACTACCGATCTTCTTTCCAATGGGTGAAGATCAACTACCCTTATTTTAACTTTTTTTCTTTTAATAAGCTTAGGAGAAAACCTCTACACTCACTCTTTTATAAGAGATTTTATCTCCTATAACTCAAAATCACCTCTAAACTCAATGAGGAGGAAGAGACAAATAATGCGCTAACCCTTCATAAACTTCACAACTTGATTCACGCCTCAACCAAGTCTTAGTGGGGTATTTATAGGCCCCAAAAGGATTCAAAATAGAGCCAAATAATTTAAATCATTGAAAATTTTGGGATATGGGTGATACTGCAACCACAACTTTTGACGTCATAATTTTGAACTTTTGGGTGGTACCACCACAGCAAAATTTAATTTCTGGGTGGTACCACCATCGCCCTAGGTGGTACCACTATCGATAATGCTGATATTGTCTGTCGGTTGACTCAGGCAGTACCACTGTCTAAGCCTACTCAAGGCCACTATTTTGGCCTTCTAACGGACCTAGTTCAACCCTAGTCCAAGCCTATTAGCTTTCTCGATAAGTTGGGATGGTTTTCGCACCAACACAATTTGATCCAAAAAGACTTTGATCAAAACTTTAACAATCCAACCACATATCTGGCATAATTATGAAGCTTTCAGCATATTGTATGCCATTCCAGCATGTCGTTCGATCTTTCGATATTTTATCCAAACCTCCGGCACATTGTCCTTTCCTTCGGTATATCACCCAATCTATTGACATATCGACTTTTCCACGACATTCGATCTTTTAGTGCAATATTCGATCTTCCAACACGATACTTGAACTTATAATACGAAGTCTAATCTTTGGCACATCGACTAATCATTTGGCTCGATATCCAATTTCCAATATGATACCTTTCCTGACATAACATCCGATTCTGTTGCTTCAATAATTTGTCCTTCAATGGTTCGAGTTTGTGATCGAAAGTATTTTCTATGTTACTTATCTTAAAAGCATATTAGTCCATAAACTCATCAATTATTTTGTTTGTGATTGCTTACTTATTATTATTCACTTTACTTGCAAACATTACTTGCTCTCAGTATTTGGTTAATTATATTTTCGATATAGATTTTACGATCAAGCTTTAAATCGGTTAAAAATTTCTATAACACTAATTCACCACTCCCCCCGCAAGTGCCATTGAGATCCTAACACCTATTTCGCTGTGAACTATTGGAGGCCCTCATCTATGACTCTTTTAGTAAGTCTACGACCTAAACATCTTTCTACCCCTCTATCCTAGCCTCAAGAGGAGGTCTTGATAACGAAGATCCCAGCAAAGTAGCACCCAGGCCAGCAATGATCGATTCTATCAAGAGATACTTTATTTAGTACTATTTCATCTTCATCCTCAACGTCCAAAGACACAAAAGCAACTTTGATGTCCGAAGACGCAAAAGCAACCTTGATAGAGGACATCCCTTTTATAGCCCCTATTAGAGATGCTGTTGGATTGGTGAGAGGAGGAAAGAAAAGAAGAACGGATAGGAAGCATTCTGTTATGATCTATCTACATATGTGGAACAGAACTTTCGAACGATTATCGCTTGAAAACTCTTTGCTTTAGTTTTTATTTTTTTTTATTTTTTATTTATTTTAGGTGCTTTTAAGTTCATAGTAAGAGTGGATTAATTTTTCATTCTAAGTTATTTTTATTGCAAAATAAGTTTAACTCCTCTGTCAAAAATTTTCATTCAAGAGATGGTATCGTATGGATGGAAGATAACCTAAGCTTTTCCTTGTTGCTGCTACCTGTTTGTGTTAATTAGGGTTACTTAGTCCATCTATGATCGTTAATTATGACAAGATAGTGAGAGGAAACTAAGAAGCTAACATGATTCAAGGCATGTTTCATGTAATAATATAGAAACCATCATATCCTACTTTTCTAGTCTCTAGGGGTTTCTTGTCACCACTCTTCATCTGACAATATGTTGAGCATATTATATTTTAATTTCTTTGTGCCTTGTGAAGAATGTGAATAATAAAAATGTTACCTTTCGAGAATCGAGGAATCGGAAATCTTCTGAGTTGACTCTTGCATCGGACTCAAAAAGTTGAACCTGAAGAGTATGTCCAAACAAAGCCGTCAGGCAGTATTGAAATCAGCATCTTTTGGAAATCATTGAAATACGTACTCAGTGACCTTGTAACCAAGCTGACTTGTCATGGTTTGATACTTTCTCTTGCATTTTGAGTCAGGACTGGAGAGAACCAAGAAAAGGTTAAATTATGGCTCGAAAGATTAAATTTGAGGTGGCTACAAAACTACAATCACTAGCTAATTAAGTTCACAAGGATTTCTGCCAGGAACTAGACGATGCTTAGATAAATTTCCAGCTTGAGAAGGCACTACCCTAGAAGCCGACTTGAACTTAATATTTTCACGTGTAAATCGTAATATTTATGCCCAGAAGTCACAAGTATGCTTTGAAAACTGAATTAAAAGTGCTGTAGCTTGACAGTGCCCATGACAATTCTGGTAAGTTTGGTCAATGTCGGTTCAGGTGTTAGGAAACTCAAAGAAATTAAAATTATTACAGTAGTCAACAATAGCATTTATCGTCAAAAATGATGATCTTCTTGTTTGGTACTAAAAGTTCCCATTAATATATTTTGAAATATCCATAGTCCATAAACAGTGGGAACACCAAACATATTAAGTACTAAGTTGACTCTGGTGTTACAGAGTAATAAGAAACTCAATTTGTGGCAAATTGACATATCATTGCCTAGACAATGCCTTCTTGACAAATAAATTAGGAATCCATTATGGAACAAACAACTCATAACATAATTGTTTTGATAAAAAGCCCAAGGCAATAAGATTCTTTTGAACTTCGGGAACGAAATTATCATCAGGAGATTGTGTCAAACATAGAAGCTCACAAAATTAGCAGCTTCATCATAGTTTGAACCCATATAAAGTGATTGCAAGTTATCACTACATAAATACTTGTCATATAGCCATCGAGATATATTTAGAGCATCACCAGAAGCTTTTACTGGAAACAAATTTCTACTGCTTTGCCACTTGTTGGTAAGGCCTATCCAGTCCCTCCTCCAGTCTTCTAATGGGAAACTCTCCCCCTTCACCAAGCTGTCTATCATGTACTTGAAATATATAGATGCTCTTGGCCCATAGTAGTCTAGTAGAAGACCACTCCAGTACTTGTTTCCTGCACAATTGAGATTGTCGCAAGAGTATTACATTAAAACAGATTGATGACACCAAAGTAAAGGGTATAAAGCAAATTGCTTCTGCATTGGTATGTACCATAATCACGAAGCAAACTAGCTTCAGTCTCAGTGTTATCAAACCACATGGTTACTTGAGTCCTTGCATTCCATTCAAACTGCACCATAGAAGCATGACAATGACAGAATCCTACTTAAATAGGCATACAAGTATTCAAATTTGAGGAGGGCAAACAGGTGACAACAAGAATCTTACCTGTTGCTCCTGTTCTGGGTCTCTTGCAAGGCGCTTGGCACTTTCCAACAAGGGGCCAAGCAGAAAACCATCATGGCATGACAAAAGCATGTCCAGATCTTTCACAAGGTCAAGAAAGTGCTGGCTATATATGGTCGCTTGTTTTAAATTACTAAGTTTGTACCCTTCTATAATCTTCAAGAATACTTTGTTTGCATACTTTGCTAATGCCTGACGGGTGAGATCCACAAGATCATATCTGGAATAATAGATCCACGAGATTTATATAAGATCCATTATCAAAATATAGTAGCATGTTAAAAGCTCCTAATATTGACATGATTTATAAAAAATTATTCTTGATGGGATTAAATATTTGAACTGTATAATATTGTTTGTAGCTGACTTTAAGATAATATTGAACTGTATAATATTTTTATGTGGAAGAAAGGGAGAAAAAATGGATAAGGATGCAGATAATTTACAATATTTATCATTTTATATAATTATCCGTTAAGTTTATCACATGAGAACAACAAGAATTGATAGAAAGAGTCATACCCATTGAAGCAGCAAAAATTTACATGTATCATAACAAACACAAGCCAATTCTAGTCATGGAGCTGTAGTCTAGACTGCTTTATATGGGTTATAACTTGATAAGCTTTCATTGTCATAAAATAATGTACAACTGGATAAAGAACTTGCAATCATGGACATTGAGAGCAATATGAAGTATGAACAATGTAAATTTACATGGGAAAGGAAGTATCTTTAACCATAAAAGAAAATTGGTCATTGGACAATGATTTAGTAAGT